CAAAAGGCACTCTTCAACAAGGACTGACAGACCAACATGCACACAGAGCATGTGATGCTTCTCTATGTTTCAATGAGAAACTAGGATAAACAACCCCACCTTGATTTATGTGGGCTTGGATTCATCTCATAGAGCAAGATGCAGAAGCCCAGCCCACTGGCTCTTTTTTATTGCTTCCATGTTGGTAACAGTGAGGGCAGATTGCTGTGTCAGGCATGTGCTCTGCAGCAAGAAAGGACAATGTCTTCCTGTGCAAGAGCTGGAGCTGTTCAGAAGATGAATTAGACCAGTGGGACTTGAGGTTCCTATGGTGGGTGCAGAATGGGAAGAGGGAGGTGAGAGAAACAGCTCACTTGCAATAGTCCAAACCTTAACCAGGCTTGTCTCCTGGACGTGGCAGTAGGTTTCTAAGAAACCACTAGTGCCAGAGAAAATGCAAACTCTCATTTGGCAGATCTATTCTCATGAAGTCTTTCTTCCTCTCTTTCTGTCCTTCCTCAAGGATTCTTGATTTTTCTTCTTGCATAAAGTGAACACGTGTAAGGGTCTTTGAGAGTTGTACCCCCACACCTTATACACTACCTTATTCACTCTTTGAGTGAGTCTTTATGGTGATTCAAAACACGTTAGGTAGATCCTGTCATATGCTTTATAAGTTCCTGACTGATTGTGTGGAATGAAGTTATTGGGCAGAGAACCAGCTAATGGAAACACATTGATGAAATCATTTTTGAGGGACATTAAATGGAACTTAAAATAAAGCTGAAATGGCTTTATGGATTTTTCAGTCAAACTGTTTATGAACATTTATCGGTGGTAAATTACACAGTGTCAGAAGGGGGAATCAGTAGGTATGGCTTTTAATAGAAGTTGCTCTGATATAATACTGTGAGAAAGAATAATTTATTGCCTAAGGATATACTGCATAGTATGTTTAAATACAAATTATATTATTGTTTTCTCCTAACTGTCTTTGGCTGTTTGCAGGTAAGTTACCCTTAGCAGTAGCAGATAGTCTCATAAGATGAAAAAAAGTATTTTCAGTACTTTGAAATGAAATAGAAACATTGTATGATGCATTTTTCATGGTAGATAGCAATTGTTTTAATAACAGATACCTCAGGAAGTAGAAGCTGTGTTGTACAATAATAAATTTAATTTACATTTGCTTTATACTCAGTAAAGGGAGAAGTGGAATGTAGTAGCTTTGATTGAGAAGGGAGACTGTAGCAGACAATTCTTGAACTGCTGGAGCTGTGCATTAATACCATTTCCCAAAATCCATCATTCCTCAGGAGGAGGACAATGAAAATAAGACTAGAGGAGTGCAAGACTAGAAGGCATTTTCTGGTCCTGCAAATCTTGTCCCCTGGTTTTGAAACACCGTGTCTTATAGTCATGAATTTATCAAATCTGTTAAGTATGTCTGTCCCATCTAACTGAAAAGCTGCTCCCATTTTTGCTCCTCTTTTGGCTAGAAAACACTTACTTTTCTTCCCAAATATATTTGGGACCAGTTTATTGCCTCTTGCTCTCATGCCAGCCCTGGCCTAGAGCCAGTAGTTCTTTTTTCTTCATGTTATTTATCCTCCTAATGTATTTATACACAGCATTAGTATCCTTTCTTAGACATCATGCTGCTAAGCTGAAAACCCAAGTTCTTCCAGTCTTCTTTTGTAGGATAGACTTCTGTTTGTGCAGTCATGACAGTGTTTCCTCTCTGTACACTTTCCTCTCTGGGGATGAGCTGGGGCCTACATAATAGTTCAAGGATTCGCTGATGATTCTTAAAATAATGTGATTTTTTTTTTGTGTTCCTGTTAGATATGCCTCTTGCCTTCCAGTTTAATGTCATGTTGGCCTTCCCTTTGGCCCTGTCCTGCTGCCATGAATCATGAGTAGTACTCCCCTAGGGAGAGACCGAGACTCTTCAGCATGGAAGAGAGAGAGCTGGTGGGAGTGGGCACATTGGAGGTCTTTAAAATTTCCAGTAGCACAAAAAGAAGAGGATGGTTATTTACTGGTTTTTTTGCAGTCCAGTGCTGAACATGCATCCAGAGAAATCATCAGGCAGCAGCTTGAAAACAGAGAACTTCTCTGGGATATTTAATTCATCTCTTAGCCCCCTGCTACAGAAATGGGGACACTGAAAATTATAATTAGGTGAAGTGAGGAAATCTTATTAGTGTCTCTCCAGTGGCTGGATGACACGGCCAGCTCAAGGAGTCCCTCAGCTGCTGACAGCCAGTCAAGGGCGGGATGTCTCAGCCCTGGTCCCCCGGCATTCCCTCGTGGCTGATGTCCTACTCAGTAATAGGGACAGGTGGCCCTTTGGGAGGTCTTGTGTTCTTAAAACAGAATAAAAAGGAATGATAGTGTAAAGGCTGGAAGACTTATCAAGGCAGGTAGTGTTCACTTCTAATTCATATCAAAGGAGAGAAACAGAAGAATTTTGAAATCTCATTCTTGTTCCTAGTGCATAGGGGACTCTTCCGTGGACCTGGGAATAAAGAAGACAGGAAAAGAGGGTTTAAGAACTGTGTGTTGGGAAAGGAAAACAAGGAGATGGAGGAAAGGAATAGCAGGCTTTTTTATTTTCAGCCTTCCTGAAATGACTGTATTGGAGGCTTCCCTGTCTTTGTTTCTAGAGTTGCTTCCTGCATTTAAATTAAATAATGAAAGCCTGAAAAACCCCAAGTCATTAGAAAAATGCTAACATTTCTCCTTATTCTTCAGGCATTTCTGGCTACATGCTTTTGGGCTTTACACAACTTAAATAGCTGACTTAAAGTGTATAAAAATGAATTAAAATTACCAGCATAAGGTGACCATTTAAGCAATACAGCTGGAAAGGGTACAAGAATATCTACGTGCACCTCTCCAGCTGTACTTCCTCATCTTCCTCCCCTCAAAAATCGTTGTTTTATTACGCAGATATGGGCAGGCTGCATCTTTTGCTAAGTTTCATTGCAAAGCTAATAGCCAAGGCAATTGGGTGGATAAGCAGAGACTTAAATCATTTGGAAACTGTTGAGAGAGGACAGGTCTGGTAATAATAACCTTCATGGCTGGCAAGTTACAGCTGCTTTTGACAACTTGTAACAATGACAGCTTATGGTAAAGTTAAGAGCTAAATATCAGTATTGTGCCATAGGATCAATTTCAATTCCCAAGTATAAAGCTTCAAACTTTAGACTGCTTTTATCATCTTTGAGATTACTTTGTTTTTCTCTAGGTTAAAAAGGAGTTGTTTGAGTTTTGGTGGGTTTTTTAATAAATGTTAGAGTGTTTATTTTCATTCTGATGTTTTTTCTTTAGCACAGTGGGACAGCTTAGTTAATTTATTTCAGCTACAAGAAAATGTAGTCTTATTGAAGCCACAAGTATTTCTCACTTATAGCAGAAGTTACAGAAGGATGTTGTATTAACATGTTTTGCATCATCTCAGAACGTTTTTTATTCTATAGTGGTGACTTCCAGACTGCACCTAGGTAACAATTATAAGAACACATGTTAAGAGAGTGCAAGAACAGTATATGTAAAATGTTTCATCAGGAGCTGTAGTTTGCACCAGTAGTTTTACCAAAAAAAAAAAATTGAGGAAATAAAAAAATGCCACTGGTATTGTTTGCATGCTGACACTGTAATTGCTGTGATGACTGCAGATAATGAATGACTAGTTGTTCACAATGCATCTGAACACAAGACCACAGGTCTAAATGTTAGAATACGGGTCATACTTGCTCACTGGGTGGGCAGCTATATATTAGAGATCATGAACATTAATTTCTAGTGCATTGCTGTGTGTAAGGCAGTTAGTACCGTTCTTAGCTGTGTTTTAATTGGAAGTTTCAACAGGAGCAACAACATAACGTTCTGCAGCATAGAGTGTCAGTGACAGCCCTTGGGGACTCCTGTGTTCCAACAGATTATTTTAAAAGTGGAGTGGGTTCAGAAAAGAGCAATGAGAAGTCCAGAAAATCCGCTTTACAGTGAACGATTCAGAAAACTGTAACTTTTCAGAGAACCAGAGAAGGTTGGGTGGTTGGGTCACCATCAGGAGCTATCTACAAAAGGTGGAGAGTCTGCTTATGCAGGGCCAATGGGCTAGCACACAAGGACATGGGAAGAGTTAGTGGCTGAAAGCTGAAGTGAGGACAGTTCAGATTAGATGCACATTTTTAAATCAGAACAATTAGTGGAAAGGCTTACCAGAGGATGGCGTGGTGTGAACCAGTGCAGGGATGGCTGGGTGAAATGGCCCAACATGGCCTGTGCAGATGGCCATGGAAGAGGATTGCAGTGGCCTGAAATTTAGGAAAACTGATCATATTACCTAGCAGTTTACAGCTTGTGATCGAAAAACAGTCAGCAAATGGGGGTAGTGCTGCCTTCCCTACCATCTCTAAGAGAAGGGGGAAATAAGCAGAAGTGAAATGACTTCTGGGTCACACACTGAACTGGTGGCCGGGCGGGGACTAGAGCAGAGTCCGCTGCCTGCTTGTGCTGCATTTCATCAGGTGGACACCTCCCTCCTTTTCCCCAGGCAGGAGCACAGCCTGACCTGAGAGGTGTTTGCAGTGATTGAGCCAAAATTTGATTTTCTCCTTTGAGTATCTCTCAGACAAAAGAAATAATGTCAAGACATGTCCAGGTGCATTAATGAGACATATAGCTGGATTAGTTGCCTTGTTACCAAGGGGGTATCTTTTCCTGGCTCCCTGCATCAGTTGGGTTGGCAAACATTTCCCGCAGTCAGGGTGCAACCAGCTGCTTTTACAGCCAGAAGTGCAGTTTGCAGGCAAATCCCAGCTGTAATCAAGGCAACCAATTTCAGATGATCAAGGTCTGGCTTTTCCTGGGGACAGAGGGTTGTGTGCAAAAGAGAAATGGGATCAGGCAATGGGTTAAATTGCACCTAGGTATGATTTGACAATCACTCCCCTGATAACAGCTTATAATGTTTACAATTTGTCTTCTGTTTTGTTTTGTGATTTCAGGAGCAGAAGGCACAGTGTTCCCTAAATCTATAGAAACTCCCAATGTCAGGGCAGACCCCTTCAAGGAACTAAGGTAAACTTTGGAATGTGGTTTAACGGTAACTCAGTGGCACCTTTTTGGAGTTGTGCATACTGCTGGGCATCATTTCTGCTTTTGCATAAGAGCTTGGGGATTCACTTTGGAAGGCATCACCGAGTAGATGCCGTGGAAGAGAAGGGACATGCCGTGTTTACATGTAATATGACTGAGCTAAAGGCAATCACAGGTCATGAGAGAATTGTTTCTCCTCTGTAACATGTTCTGCCTACCCTGGACTCAGCATTTGAAAAAAAAAAACAAAACAGAAAAATCTTTTCCTGGTTATGCAGGGAGGTACTGGAGTCTGTGTCGAATCACAGGGAGTAGCAACAGGCAAAAGAATAATGCTCTCCAGCATTATCTGTCTTGCAGAAATGCAAACCCTCCCTGACCTACATGGGGTCTAGCCGTGCATGCAACTGCTCACACTCGCAGAGATGATGCTTGCTGACATCAGTATATCAGGAAGGAATAAACAGCACAGCTCCTGAGAACCAGCTTTGCCCTCAAGCTAACGCTGGGCATTATATTTTTGGGGGGAAAAAAAAAAAAAAGAAAAAAGAAAAGTGTGGCACTAGAGGTTAGTTTGGATGACTAGTCTCTGAAAAGAGACTAATTATACAGCCTAATAAATTATTGACTAAATCTCTGATATCTTCTGACCCAGAGGGCTTGTAGGTATTTGCCATCAACACTGTAATTATCCTTCCTTAGAAAAAAAGAGAGAGAGAAAAGGTGAAAAAAGTCTCCAGATGGGCATCTTGTCCTTAGGTCTTGGGTTGCAAACTCTCCTTTCCTGAAAACTGCTGGGGATGAAGCAATCTTCAGACAGCTGAAGTTGTGCAGGAGCCCTGCAGATTTACTGTGGATGCACGGAGATGGGAGAGGACCTCTCATTAACTCTCTCTGTGCTGATACCAGGGATAGTTATGGCCCAACTAGATCACCGTGGAAGATGAAGAATATCCTGGCTGCCTTCCCTTGGGTCTATCTCTGTCTTTCAGTTTCTCTCTGGAAACACTCTAATTGTTCCCATTTTGCACTCTGGGGATCATATGTCAGACAAGTGCAGTGGTGGTGTGTTTCAGTTTGTTATGAAAGTTTGTTCTCTTTCTCCATGCAGTGATTTTAACCCTGCCTTGTGGTTTTCCCAGTCTTGGTATACTTCCTTCAAAAAAAGAGGAAGCGGGGTCTTTGCTCAGCCTGACATGAAGCTGCCAGGGCAGCTTCAGGGTCTGCTGTGGTTCAAAGCACATGTACCCTCTGTTTCTCTGGGCAGAACAAGAAAACGAAGCAGTCAGCGGGATGGGTGGAATTGTAAGTAAGGTTCAGGTGACAAAGAATTTCTGGCAGAGCCCATCTTTGCTGACGTTTTCATGGGGAAAAAAAACCATCAAGATCATGGTTAAAATATCCAATAGCATCTAAATAACTTACAAAACCAGGTTCCATTTTCAGTAGAGCAAGAGAAATGCAAGATTTAGGTCCAAGTTTGTGGTTACTTAGGACTTTTCTAAACATGGGAGGGGAATTTAATCTAAATAAGTGTAGGATGTCATATTAGTGGGGACAAACATGAATTAAAATTGCCTTAATCTGATTGAGTATGCTTCTGTTCCAAAGAGAATGAAGCTAAATGAATTTGAAATGAATTAATGGTAGTATCCATGTGAGGGGTTGATTCAATATATTTGATCTACTTTAAATTCATGTTGTTATTTCACTTTTTTATGTAGAGAGCTGTTAGATAACTGGCTTTCTTTGAAATTAGGGAACTGGGTGAAAAAAATCCTGTAAAAATCTGGTGGGGTTTCTTTTTCTTTTTCTGGTTTTGTTTTTTTTTAAGGGAAAATCATTGAATAGGATTTACTTTGGGGAAGAAAAAAAAAAAAGTCCCACAGGGTCCTAAAACATTTTGTGTGCTTCTGAAAATTTTATCTTGGAAAAAATAAGTTTTTTTCCACCACTCAGAGGAAAAAGAAAGAGCCAATGGTAGCATTGTGTTGAGAAAGCAAAGTTTCCCAAGAGCAAATGCTCTATTCCTCCCCAAACCAAGAACCATCCATCTGTCTCTCTACATACTGGAGCACTGACTGCTTCTTAGGTAAAATGGTGCCTTTTGGGTGTAGTACAGAGTTCATAGAGGAAATAATCTTACTTTGGGGGGACATTTTTTGGCACATTCCTGTTTTGATAGCAATGTGTGTGCATAAGGTGTCCTTTTGGCCTATTAAAAAAGATGCTGCAGTGAAATGGGACTGAATGAGATGGCAGCCTATGGGTCCCGAGCTGTCACACACTGCTAGGAAAGTAGCATTGTAAACATGCACTCAGTAGATGGCTTGACTCTAAAAGACCTTTTTCTGTAATAAATAGTACAAACTTTCTTTCCTCCTTACGCTGAAGTTCTCAGGGTGGGAAAGTGCACATTCAGCTCTTGCAGGCTGTCACCAGACGCCACCAACCTCCATCACTCTTCCTAGACCAAATGCTTACAATTAGTTACATGATTTATCCATTTGCTCTTTTCAGTACCACACTGACTCCCACTTTTTCATTAGGACACTTCAAAGTAAGGTGACAGTGACTGTCACTATCGGAAAAAGAGGAGACCAGCTGCTCCTGTCACCACTGGGAGTCAGATCATCTGCATGTCTTCTTTCCCTTCCTCCTCTCCTTAACAGACAGACTGTTTTCCTTTTCAGGACAGGCAGTACACCATCATGCCAGTCATCTCTCTTTCTTTCCTTCTTTTCCTCCCATCTCTCAAAGGTCTCCAGGGATGCCCAGGTGTCATGAAGACTGACACACTTTGAGTGATGACACACACATTCTCAACAGACCTTCTGTCCTCATTTAGCTGGCAAATGGTCTTCAGTTCATATAGCGTAATTCATTTATTAGTAACCAGCTGCTCTACAAGGTGGTCAGGTGGTCACCATCCTGGAGAGCAGACAAGGTGTGGTCCTCTTTTCTGAGTGCCCTTTTTAAAACACTTTTGTCTGCAGTGGTTGTGATGGAGAGAATTCAGGTGGTAACACATGTGTAGCTTTTTGTTTACGTGCTGAACCCATTGCAAGAATTGGTTTGGTGCTTGTTTGAACCAGGTCTGGACTTCGCTGCTGAGTCTTCTCAGGAGGTGCTCTCCTGTGCTGCAGACAGACTTGTGTCCTAAAACAATCCTATTCAGTATCAGTTGAAGTAGTAAAGTGAGAGCTCATAAATGTCTTATTTAGTGCCGTGTGTTATTAATGGTTCATGTTTCCTATTTGATATCTAGAATATTCTTTAATAAAGACCTAAGAACTAGAGATGGTTGAAAAACTATTTTACATACTTCTGTGAATGTTTCCATGTTTTTACTTATTTAAAGTAATTTTACACTGTTGAAAGTTTTGGTATTTGTTCATTGGGTTCTAAACTGGTCAGAAACAGTGAAAAGGAAAGCAAACAAATTCAAATTATTTTCAAATTCTTTGAATGTTTAACATTGCCATTCAGTATCATCCCAAAATAGTTTAGAAGGAGGGCTTGGAAGATTTGTTTGGACATTGAAATATTTGCACTCATCTGCATTGACTCTTCTTAATGCAGGTTGGTGTCTTTGACATATGGTAATGTGATTGCCTATGTATAAAAGTTGAATTCGAGATGACCTTTTCTCACTTGATTGTTTTAGTAGCAACCAGGTAACTTGGTAAGAGCCTGTCTCTCCTTGACACTGGCACTTATCACCTGCCTCCCTCTATTTATGTTCTTCCAAAAGGCAAATATATGCCAAGGAGGCTAAGAAGATCAGCACTTTCATTGCTACTGACACATCCTCCAAGGCGAGGGCTAAGGGCTAGACTAGCCAATGAGTAAGGAAGAAGGAAAATAATCTAGGGAGAGGGGATTAAAAAGTAGGTGATCCAATATAAGAAAATTATCAGGAGGATGTTGCTTACCTGCTAAGTGCTGGAAGTTGGGAGGGTGTACACTGGATGGGTGCTGTGCATTAGCATCCCTCCCGGGCTCCTGGTGGGAGCAGATGCCTGGGCTCAGAACTAGCGTAGGTGCCTCCCTGATGGCCAAGTCATGCTGGGCAGGGGCACCCAGAGCGAGAAAACCTGGTTTAGGGCATTTCTATTCCCAGAGTTAAATATAAAGAAATCAGACAGCATGAAATTCACTCCATGAGGGGCAAGCGCACACCTGGAATTCATCCACAATTATCATAGGTTAAAAATGCAGTAAACTGTTCATCCAAGGCCAGGAAACCGAGATGACTGTTTTTCCTGTAATGCACGAATATAGTTAAGGGAGAATTAATCCCTTGGGCTTGAAGGGATAATTTTTGGCCAAAGTTAATTATGAAGCACTGAAAGTACCAAATGGCAGTTGAAATGTACTTGCAGCTTGATTTTATTAGTGCAGTTCTACCTTACCATGTATAATACTGAACTATCCAAATAGTCCAAGTGAGACCCATTGTAACAAAATGCAATTTAAATACAGTGCTCAGCTAATGTAAAAATACTCGTTTTGCAAAACAATAATTCTTATCGAATTAAGGTTTCTCTCAGCTGTGTTTCACAATGCAACAGAGATTTTCAATAAGTATGAACACAAATGTTTCCATCTAAAACCCATTACATTAATAAAGATTAAGAGAATAAAAATTAGAGGAAATGCAAAAAATGAATGGTATGAAAGAGGAAGTAATTGGTGAGAAATGGAAGTTGTTTGTAGAGATTAGTGTGTGATACTGAAACACCATTTAGTTTACAGCAAACGCTTGGTCATTCCTGTGAGTATCAGCAAGGGAAAAATGGCCAGTGTAGCCTTGTATCTAGCTGCTGTTATTTTCCAGTTGATTTACCAGAAAGGATGTGTTTCTTTTATTTGTTACAGCAGTGCAATCCCAATAATGTTGGTAGTCCTACCAGCTTAAAAGACAACAGACTTTTGAGTTGGGATGAGCTTTGCTTTCCATATGGTAACAAATATAGTTA